GATGGTCTCGATCTCCTGACCTCGTGATCCGCCCATCTCGGCCTCCCAAAGTGCTGGGATTACAGGCTTGAGCCACCGCGCCCAGCCAACTCTGAAATTCTTAAGGATACTGATCCATGGCTCACAGCTGTGCTCACTGAACATGGACAATCATTTGGGGGCTTTTAGGACCTTTTTTTTTTTTTTTTTGAGATGGAGTCTCACTCTGTCAACCAGGCTGGATTGCAGTGGTATGATCTCAGCTCACTGCAACCGCTGTCTCCCAGGTTCAAGCAATTCTCCTGCCTCAGCCTCCCGAGTAGCTGGGACTACAGGCTCCCACTACTGTGCCCAGCTAATTTTTGTATTTTTAGTACAGTTGGGTTTTCACCATATTGGCCAGGCTTGTCTCGAACTCCTGACCTCAGGTGATCCTCCCTCCTCAGCCTCCCAAAGTGATGGGATTACAGACGTGAGCCACTGTACCCGGCCAGGACTTTTTTTTTAAGACAAGGTCTGGCTCTGTCACCCAGGCTGAAGTGCAGTAGCTCGATCACAGCTCACTGCAGCCTGAAACTACTGGGCTCAAGCAATTCTCCTGCCTCAGCCTCCTGAGTAGCTGGGATTATAGCCGCCCATCACCACACGCAGTTAATTTGATCTTCAATCACTGATACCCTTTCTTCCACTTGATTGAATCGGCTATTGAAGTTTATGCATGCGTCACATAGTTCTTGCGCCACGGTTTTCGGCTCTGTCAGGTCATTTAAGGTCTTCTCTATGCTGTTTATTCTAGTTAGCCATTCATCTAATCTTTTTTCAAAGTTTTTAGCTTCCTTGCAATGGGTTCAAACATCTTCCTCTAGCTCAGAGAAGTTTGCTATTACCTTCTGAAGCCTATTTCTGTCAGCTCGTCAAAGTCATTCTCCATCCAGCTGTGTTCCGTTGCTGGCGAGGAGCTGTGATCCTTTGGAGGAGAAGAGGCACTCTGATTTTTAGAATTTTCAGCTTTTCTGCTCTGGATTCTCCCATCTTTGTGGTTTTATCTACCTTTGGTCTTTGATGCTCGTGACCTACAGATGGGGTTTTGGCGTAGATGTCCTTTTTGTTGATGTTGATGCTATTCCTTTCTGTTGGCTAATTTTCCTTCTAAGAGTCAGGTCCCTCAGCTGCAGGTCTGATGAAGTTTGCTGGAGGTCTACTCCAGATGCTGTTTGCCTGGGTGTCACCAGCAGAGGCTGCAGAACAGTAAATATTGCTGCCTGATCCTTCCTCTGGAAGCTTCGTCCCAGAGGGGCAGCCATCTGTATGAGGTGTCAGTCAGCCCCTGCTGGGAGGTGTCTCCCAGTTAAGCTGCACGGGGGTCAGGGACCCACTTGAGGAGGCAGTCTGTCCGTTCTCAGAGCTCAGACACTGCTGGGAGAACCACTGCTCTCTTCAGAGCTGTCAGACGGGGTCGTTTAAGTCTGCAGAAGTTTCAGTTTCTGCTGCGTTTCGTTTAGCTATGCCCTGCCCGCAGAGGTGGGGTCTACAGAGGCAGCAGGCCTTGCAGAGCTGCGGTGGGCTCCGCCCAGTTCAAGCTTCCCCTGCCGCGATGGCAGACGCCCCTCCCCCTGCCAGGTGCCGCCTCGCAGGTCGGTCTCAGACTGCGCTAGCAGTGAGCAAGGCTCCGTGGGCGTGGGACCTGCCGAGCCAGGCACAGGCTATAATCTCCTGGTGGGTCGTTTGCCAAGACCGTTGGAAAAGCACAGTATTTGGGTAGGAGTGTCCTGATTTTCCAGGTACAGTTTGTCACGGCTTCCCTTGGCTAGGAAAGGGAAACCCCCCAACCCCTTGCACTTTCTGGGTGAGGCGATGTCCCCGCCCTGCCTCGGCTCGCCCTCTGTGGGCTGCACCCACTGTCCAACTGGTCCCAAAATTATGAACCCAGTACCTCAGCTGGAAATGCAGAAATCACCGTCTTGTGCGTCGATCACGCTGGGAGCTGCAGACCGGAGCTGTTCCTGTTCGGCCATCTTGGAACAGAATTCCCACGCCCAGCTAATTAAAAAAAAAGTTTTTTTTAGTGTCTGTCGATGAGACCCAGGTTGGCCTCAAATTCCTGAGCTCAAGCGATTCTGCCCCCCAGCCTCCCAAAGTGTTGGGGTTACAGACATGAGCCACTGTATCCAGCCCTTTTAGGACTTCTAAGGGGGAGAAGAAAGGTGGTTCCCGCCCATGGTGCCCTGTGAGGGTTCTAGATGTTCACATGGTAACCTGCTCACTCTGCAGGGAGCCTGTCCACATCTGCTTTTCATAGCCGAGAAAGCTGTCGATAAATAATGGAAGAATGGGGCCAGCAGATGAGAGCTGGCCCAGCAGCCTGGGACGCTGTCCTCAGAAGGCCCATGTGTGGGAGGTTGCCCTCGGCTGGCATCTGCGAACAGGAGGTCCCCCTGCTGTTCGCTGCTACGAGCCGCCTACCTTGCCACACTGTTTTCGCAGACACCACGATTTACGCCCAGCACCCTCCTCCTGGGCATAAAGAGTACCAGGCAGAGGGGAACACACCGCCAGCCCAGGCAAAAGCCCTGGGAACTGAGTCTCACACAGCTTCCCCGTCAGCATCTGGCACCTGTGCTTGCAGCCCGAGTGTCCGTATGGCTCCAGCTTGGGGAAGATTCCATGCTGCGCCTGGTCTCCCCGGCCCTGCCCACGCCTCTTCCCCTGGCTAATGCCCTCCCCATTGTAAGTCATGGCAGTG